CTATTCGTCATCAGTTGCAATGATTTTCTTAAGAGTTTAATATTGTTGCAATAGTTGCTAAATTAATCAAGTTCACATGGGATATTTTTTTCCGTCCACCTCTCTTCTTTTCCACTTGATTGGATTTAAGAGTTAGCACCAGAGAATATTCTTTCTTCTTTCTTGCTTAGATGAAATCTAGGGTGTTTTTTAGAAGTCTCTAAAGGACAAATGGTTCATATGTTCTCGGTCTAGTTGCTGATGATAGTTTATCCTACTCTCGAGAAAATAAATTTTTATTTTCTTAGTTAATTGTGACATGGTAGCTAGATACGCTCAAATAATGTGGGACATAAATATATGATATTTGAAGTACTGATATGATCCAATAATTTCTTGTAAACAACGCTGTTAAGTGTTTTAATTATAAAGTAATCTTTTGATGTGGTAAAAGTATAAACTTATCTGAACCCAAAATAGAAATAAAATCATTTTTTAGCACATCAAAGTTGGTAACATTTTCAATGTTTATCGGTGGTGACTTATTAACAGAATCATTGTTTTAAATTGACAGAATGTTTGTGTCGTTCGTGACCATACATTGAATTTAAAAGTGACAGGAGGACTGAATTCTGTCGATAAAGGGACTTATGATTTAAGAGAGATAAGTATTAGTTATGCTTCGGAGAGAAAAACAAATTTAATTGATTTTTGTCCTGTTTAGGAGATGGTGGAGGTGAGGAATATGTTGATAAATTTCATTTTGGTATGTTATTGCGAGACATGATCCGAGTTTAAATTTAACTTTATATTATTATGGCATTATTATTTCGTCTGATATGTCACATGACACCGTGACTTACGATAACCGCTTTAACAAGACCGATACTTGTGTACGATCAAAAACTGAGGAGTGTATTACTTATATTAATTATATTGTATATAATAGAATATCGTTATACATACTGTCAACATTTTATTCATTTTTTACTGATAGTTCAGGCATCAAAAGATAAGTTTTATAGCTTTATCATTTAGATATTAAAAATAATTCCAGAATACTCGTGTATTTGTTGTCGTAGCTTTTATGCTATATAGAATATAGATAATATTATTCTCATTGCATTGTTGCTAAGGCCGAAAATCAATAATAAGTAATACTCAATATTTGTTTGACATTTTTTGTTGTTTAATTTTTGATTTAATATTACAATTTATATTTTTGCTGACATGTATTTTTTATTATTTCTAGAAATTTATACTAATGTTCCGATATTAGTAGCTGGAATTTCTGCCTTTCTTGATAATTTGTATTAATTTTTAATTAGACTTCTATTGTAAGATATTTGTGTACATAGGTAAATACCATTGATTAAAATCAATGATATACATATCATCAATGATAGGTACAGTTAAAACCATGAATCTTGTATGATTGGAGTGACAATATTTTAAATAACAGTAGGGAGAGATTTACATTAAATATGTATATAATACTATATACATTTTATGAATTACATAAAAATGGATATACAGCTAACAAATATTTGGATGACTAATGACTATTTATAAATGACTAAATAAACAGTTATGAGATATTAAAGTTAATTGAGTAAATTGGCCCCAACGATGAATTTTATGATGGCTGATATAGTAGGGGTTCTAATTGAGCGATTTGGCCAGTGATTCCAGACGTTAAGAATTGTATCTTTCTTAATACTGAAATATAATGTATAGGTAATTGTTAATTTTATTTATTTAATACCCCAAGTACTTACATTAAAACATCTTAAATATATTGTAAAACAAACATTTCAGATATAATTGAAAACAATAACATATTTAGGCACCGACATTTTCCCCATTTGTTTTAAGCGCATCGAGTACAAAAAATATACGTTTGCAATAAAATAATTGTTTAAAAAGTGCTGCATGGGTGCATTACTTTAAGTGTAATACATCGTGGCAGATCTACAAAATTATGACGCTTTTTTGTTCTTTGCAATCGTTGTCTATACTTAAAACTATTAGCGAATATATTTCAGTATTTGATCTTTGTAAGATGTGGTGGATTGGAGCGAATGTTACAAATAAAGACAGATGAAATTGAGAAATCAGAAGACTGAAATGCATAAAAACTAAATCATTATATTGTAATTTACTCGATCAATGCCATAAATTACAACAGATTAAGTAGTTATTTTAAAGGAAACGTAGTTAATACCCGTTTATCAAGCCAACTTATTTTGATTAGAAATGCAATTGGAAACGAATCAAAATGTGTTTTCGTGATGATTTATCGTATTTCCATTAAGAGACGTTGGATCATTAATTTTACAAAAATTGTGAAACACGCCGTTGGATTAGCAATAGAATACGAGAATATATAATATATATATACGTATATACTTGTAATTGAAGTTGACGAATTTCGATTTTACTTAATATTGCAGACATTTTATTTATATATTTGTGCTTATATATTGACGGTACTCAGTAGGTCATAATTATAGCAATACTGTAGCAAAATGGAGATTATAAAGAAAATTAGTTTTTTGATAAATGATTATAATATATTATGAAGTTCATGCGATAGGAAAATGTCCAAACAGTAGATTAAGGGCTTAATACCCCTGTCTTCAAATGTAGTAAAAAGATTTAAATTTTAAATTGTAAAAAGGGGGGTGGTCACCGCCCTGTTAAACAGTTGGAGTCGAGTGTACCTCGTTATTATGTAAGTCATTTCAGTGGATATTATGTTAAATTTGAATTCAATGATAAATCATTGTTTATAAAAAACGAATCCAAGCAAAGTCAGTCTATTATCAAGTGGCAACATGGTTCCTCATCTGGCAACATGCTTCCTCCTCCGGTTCTCGATTTTAAGCATAAAAAAAAAAATAAATAAAAAAAAAAAGTCTATCATCAAGTAAATATATTGCTAGAAAATATTGTATTTAGTATAATTTATTTTACTATTTATAGAAATACTGTACTCTATAAGCTATACAAGAACAACAGGCAATAGTATAACATTTCTCTAATATTTTGAAAATATCATTGTGTATATAAAAATATATAATAATACTCGTATACTTAAAACTTTCAAATCTCCATGAAAAGAATTTTTAAACTACAACAAAAACTAATATCGTTAATTTTTGTTTAATTATAGAATTTCATCCAGAATTAAACATTAAATTTCTATAAAAAAAATACTTTTGAATTTTTTGGTTTCGGTATAAACCACTTATGATGAACCTTGTATTAAATTTTCAGGTCATATTTAAAAAAAATATAACAGTAGATACATTTTAAGAACAAAATACTTAGTAATAAATATTTCGAGATTTAGATACATGTAATTTCACTAAATGTTTATGTTAGCATTTTCTATACTCCATACAATTTTCAAAATATTTTTTCTCGTGTTGAATTATTTATAGGCATATGAAATTTTCTATTATTATATTTTGTTTTTTTTTAAATGTTAATAAACAATTTTTTGCTGTGTCGAAAAACTTGAAAATGTAATACAAGGTTCTACGTAAGTTTTTGTCAGCAGAAATTAAAAAAAAAGTTGAGCTTAAATCCACGGTAATTTTTTATGAGCGTTTCAACTTAGAATTTTTACAAAATTCGTAAAAATCAAGAAAATTTGCAAATTATTTAAGATTAGAAATGCATAAGAAATGTTTTATTTAAAACTAAGATATAAAAATTTAATATAAGAATTTAATATAAGAGTTTTTATATGTTTGTCTACCTTTATCACTTATGCCGTTTTTTCAATAACTAATAAATCTAAAAAAATATATGGATACAGTTATTTTTTACAGACATTTTAAGTTCAAATTTGGATAAAATTGCATATTTACACAAAGAATAACGTTTATCATTTTGTTGCAATTTGGTTCCAAAACAGCCCAATTTTACATAGGAATATTTAATATTTTTCCAGATTCACTGATAATTTAAGAATAAAATTATTTTAACTTACCAGCTATTAATTAATAACAAGTACCTAATAACATTATAAAATATCATAGACTGACATACCGTCTCCGCTCAGAACCGTTTTTCGTGTACAATGATATTATATCATTTAACTAAAACATAATGCCATACATTACATTTCTAGACACATAATGAACAGCAGAGTGTTTTTTATTCTTTTACCCGCTTTATTAATTTGTTTTTGATGATTAGTTTGTAAAATACTGATAATTTACAATTTTGACTTCATAAGAGTATCGAGTAGATCAAATTTTCTATCAGAAATCACCCGAAAGTTGAAAATTGAAGTATTTTTCTACAACATATATTATGTAGAATGTAGATGTACAGTAAAAATAAACATTGCTTCGCCCAAAATCTAAAAACAAAATTAATTTTAATTTAGCTAAAATCATTAAAATAATGTTGGTTAATTTTTGAGAGCATATTATATTATTTATTTACTAATAATTTAAATTACTTTAATCTTTAACAAATATTTGTAGTTTATGCATTAATTGAGCATACTACTGTACAATGGTTGGAATTAAACGAAACGTTACGATTACCAAATTCAAATTTTCATGTTCAATAGATATTTTAATCCTTTACAATTATTTATATTGCATTGATATTTGTAATTCAGAATTTTAGTGATACCTAACCAATATTTTAGAAATTATAGGTAGGTACTTGAAGTGAAGGTTAGGTTAGGTTAGGGTAGGTTACTACTAACTCTATAAATGTCGATACCATCGAGAATTCATTAAAAGCAAAATATCATATTTGATGTCTTACTGCAAACATTTAAATAGGTATCAAAATTAGTAATGTTTCGGTGATAATGAGACTAGTGGTAACTTATATAATATACATATTATAAACTCAGCTAGATAAATCGTCACCATTGTAGGTGGCGTCTAACGTAGAATATTTCGGAATATTATATTTTATTAGAACACTTGTTTATATATTGTTATTCAAGTATGATTGCCTAACCAAAATACGTAATTTATATTTTGCAGATAATGAATTGGATGTGGTGAACTGATTTGAGGGACATTTGATGACGACAGTTGAGGACTGTTAGTGTGTACGCGTGCACGTGTACACGTGTGTGTGTCGTCTGTTTGTGTCACCCGTGCGGAATCAGTTTTGACGTGATCCCTTCACTTGGAAACAATAAACCACCGCTTCAACCGCCGTCGCCGCCACCGCGCTCAAATCACTGTCAACACTGTCGCCACAGTTACTACAGACGTTGTCATGGAAGTGATGGATTCTGACGCCAACACCGTGTTGCACTCGGTCGTCAAAGGCGTGCACGTCGGACCGCCACCTGTGGTCACCTGGCCTGGCATGGACAACGTGACGAACGCGTCAATGTTTGACGAGTCAAATCTGCCGTATGACATGAAATTCAACGAGGGCCACGTGGTCGCCATAGTCACTTACAGCATACTCATGGTAGTCTCGGCCATAGGCAACATCACGGTGCTGACGATCATCTTGAAACGCAGGCGCAAGGCGGGCACAAGGATACACGCGATGCTCATGCACCTGGCCATTGCTGATCTGTTGGTAAGAGATTACTTGCAATCCATCGGTTATCCACTGTTTTCTATTATAATATATAATATATTTTATGACAAGAAGTCTCAAATCTACTCAACCCTCACATTGCTCAAAAAAAAAAAAATTAATAAAATGAAATAAAAATTTATCCTTTGTAGTATAAACTTATGTTTGAAATACATTTAAGACAGTGGGGACGACTTGAAATATGACTATGCGAGTATGACTTACAAGAATTTGGCATACGTGGGTATCATTTGATTCTAAAAATATCAGCCATCACTTTTATTTATTCTACAGTTAAACTTAAGACTCTAGCACCCGCAAAAAAATTGTTTTCTTACACTGAAAAGGAAGTTTTTGTTTAGATTGCTACATATTATATAACAATGTTTGCTGTATGTTTTGATTATAATATATTGGTAATAGGTATGTATAAATTCGTCTTGTAGAAATCCGATTTTGGCCAATTTCCTTTCGAGTAGATTACCTATGAAAGTACAATTTAGGTGATAAGCCAAACATTCAATTCATTTTTACTAAGAATGAAAACAATCTCGTTCAGAATCAAACGATTAATAGAATATCGGAATAAATAATAAGGGAATCGAGAGATAATTTTTATTTTTTATACTTATGTATTTAAAATTAATTATACTTATACTACATGCATACAAACAAATGTATTTGTTATTAAACATTCTATAGAGCATTTTAGAAACTTGAAATATAAATAAATATAGTAAATTATGTCTGTGTTATCATAATGTACAATAAACAATTATAAAAGTACTCTGTAATTAAGTTAGATTAAATACAGAATTAATTTGTAGATTTATTATAAAATAAAAATACAATTAATAAATAAAAAATTAATTCAATTAGTTATCACGAAAAAAAATTGTTTCGTAAAATAAATTTGAATTTCGAATTTTTAACCATAAATTAAACTAATAAATTATAAAAATATGTCTTAAACCAAATATATTTCACTTAACTCAATATAAATGTTAAATATATGAACTATTGACTACTAAGTCACTTAGTGAAACAGGCGCATGCGTAAAATATTGGTTTTATTTTGTGCGAATAACTTAAATATATATTTGTTCAGTACCTATTAATTTGCTTCATTCGGATTGAACATATGCCGAAGTTATAAATGTATTCAAAATTATTGAAATTAATTGTATGCATGTTGAAAGAAAAAATACTATATTGTATAAAATACCATTCGTTATCGCAATGTATAATGTGTTTAGAAGAATGAAATTTAAATTACTTTGTATGCATTTCTTTTTTATATTATAGGTAACGTTTTTGATGATGCCGTTGGAGATAACTTGGGCATGGACTGTACAATGGGTGCTCGGTGATCCACTATGCCGTATCATGTCATTTTTCCGAATATTTGGATTGTATCTTTCCAGTTTCATATTGATTTGTATCAGCGTTGATAGGTGTGTAGCCTTTTTTAGTTTCAAAACTTTTATTCTATGTTGTAGTTAGACATTATACTTACCTTAAAATATTGCATTTTATAATATTATGCTCTATTGATACATGTTCTTAGTTTTTAAACTATACATTTTCTTTAGAATATGTACACAGTGAGTAAAATCATAAAGCCAATCGTGAAGTACATTACGTCCTGTAAAACAATTAATGCAATTAAACTTTTATTTTTTATTACAAAATATTGCTTAAGTTTCACAAATAATAAAATATGCATCGGCATATGTGGACTGCATAACTAGAGTGATAAGGTCCTGCATCAGTTCAGCACTCCAAAGCCATGTTTTGAAATTGGCGTAAGGTGATCACATCTTTACACTTATTATAAACTTTTTAAAACATTTTTCACTATGAGTAACACTATGAGTAATACTTACTTATACCATAATTATGATTAATCTAAATTATGTATTCTAGTCTAATCACATTTTTCAGTTACTAATTTATTTATTATTGAGTATTGACAGATATAAATTGGGTGAATAATATAAATTAGATTTGTTATTTTTCGAGTGTATTGTTTTAGCATAGTTCTATTGTCGAGGTTGGTAAAAACTTATATTTTTGGGTTTCCATTTGGATTTTCTAAATATTTACAAAAGTAAAAAAAAAATGTTATTATTAATGCCAATTGCCATTATTAACAAGCCGTCTTCTTTAAAGTAAAGAAAAAGAGAATCTATTATAATGTCTTTCTTGATTTAATTTTTCAAATTTAAGTTGTTTTAGCAGACATTTAAATATTTTTGTCAGTTTGATTTCATAAATTATGTCACAAAGATTATGATAAGTACAACAAATAAATATCTATTAGCATTTTTTTTTTGAAAAGCCATCTAACAGCATTTTATCTAATAATAAACACCTCAATATTTTTATTTTGTTTTTACAGTAATATGGATCTTAACTAATAATTTTGTCAGTAGCTATTTATAGTTACATTTAAAATTTACTTATAAGAACTGAAATAATTCAAAAAAAGTGTGTTTATATTTTAATATAATATTATCTATGTATAAATCTAAATACCTAATCGTTTAATTAATAATTCTTTTTTTGTGGATTATAGATTTAAGTGAAGTTAATTAATGAATATTCAAAATCATATTGTTTGCTTCTAATTTAATATTTATCATTACACTTAACTTATTTTAATTTCTAGTATAATAGTCATTTTAGTGTGGTCAGGTCCAATTTAAAGAAAACCATTTCACATTCTCCCAACCACAACTTTGTTTGATTACCAATTTTTAAGAGGTGGTTTCATTATAAAATGTAAAATACTCAATATTAAAATTGAAGATTGAAAAAACATACTTTTACTTTTAATAAAACTTAATTTTTAATTCAATTTACGAATATTTGTACTTCATAGTAACATATCGGTAACAATTTTTAAACTTTTTCTTCTGTCGTCACCATATATTTTAAGTGCAGTGGATGTTCTTCTGAAACGAATGATTTTTATTTCTTTTGTGTTATTCAAGCGTCTGTCAAGGGGGAATTGAAGTCAAAAACTGATATTCAAACATAAAATATTTGTCTTTGTAGGAAACACTCTGTTATGGTACCTTTATATTATTATTATTATCATCAATGATGGGTATCGTAAATATCATCATTTCTTGGAAAATCTTAGATCATATTATACTATGGATGGATCCCATCTCATACATGGCCATCTCACTTGTGTAAATAATTCAATGCACATATAAGAAACGAGTCACTGTATATTAGATGCTTGATGTGCGCATGCGTGAGGCAAACTGTCTCATATTTAGCCATAGGACGCTGACTGATTTATGTCCATATATGAATTCAAATAAATAAATATGCGACATTATTCGTCTAATCCAGATGTTTGTCTCTATTATATGCTTTAAATTATCGAAACGTGAGTAATATATGATCCAATATAAATACCTACACTAAAAATAGGCATAATAAATTAGTGATATGGGTGTTTTGTGTGCAATTAATTATTAATAAACATTTATCAGTACAAAATAAATATATTTAAAAATGTTAAACCCATTTTACTCAAATAAGAAGTTAAGCTCCGGGACATTATTATATTAATGATCAAACCCGGTAACAACGTCTAGTCTCGAAGAACTTTTCCGGAACACCGGAACATGAGTACCTTAACCGGTAACGAAAATTTCTAAAATTAATTGGATATTTTTATATTTAATAATTATTTTTAATATAGTATGAAATTAATAACACAAAATATTTTTGATATTTTCTTCTCGATAATATTATAGTTGAAAGTATGAACACCTCATTCTAGTTATGATGTAGTTCATGATATTTTGCTGTTAGAAATATATATTATAAGTTATTAACATTGGAATCGTTGCATAAATGATTAACCAGGTAATGTCTTGGATTGTCCTGAACTATTTGAGCGTTAAAATGTTAGAATAAATTTAAATACAGCTAGAAATGAATGTTTATTTTACTTACTTAATATTTCACATTAATAATTAATTAAAAATAATTAATATATGTCTTGGATTGTCCTGAACTATTTAAGCGTTAAAATGTTAGAATCAATTTAAATAAAGCTAGAAATGAATCTTCATTTTACTTATTTAATATTTCACATTAATAATTAATATAGTCTCAATCATCAACATCACGTGTTTTAATGTTTACTCCCAACAAAATAAATAATTATATTTTTTTTTTATTCAGCAGTCCTTGAACTGACTAAGCTATCTAAGTTAATGTATTTATTAATTAACTATTTTTTTCTTTAGTTTTGATCTTTGTTGATCGAGGAGGCCTTTTAAACTCATTAATTATTAACTGTACTTTTTTTGTAGTCAATTATGAACTGGAACTTATATTTTATTTTATTGTGTACATATTGGCATTTATTTTCCATAATTAAGTATATTATTATAGTAATACAACTAACCTAACCTAGCCTTTTTAAGAAATAGTTTTGACCATATTATTTTGAACATACTTATTAAAAGTCTATTTTATTAATTACGTAATTCTTTTTGAAATATGACAGTCAATCAATAATTACAAATTATGACTTTTTAGTTTTTTTTAATTACGGCCCTCTGAGCGGGTATAAAATATATATAAATAATGAGCTTATTTTTTAAGGTAGTTCAAATCTTCAATAGTAGTATTAATAACGGAGTTTATAGATCTGATAAATTATACGTGTAACACATATCTTTAACTGTCATTTAAGTGGCATCTAAAATATTGCATACTATTAGTCTTAAGATTATATTTTATAGGTTTATTATGAACATTATAGGGTAAACATTTTTCCGTTTATGTTCTATTATAATTTAAGGTTTATACTTAGGCTATAAATTTAATACGCTGTAGTTAATAACATCCAGGGGCGTCAACTTAAGAGTATAAGCTATACTTTTATAACCTGCCTATTATAACCCTCCATATAGTTATTCAATTAGTTATTAAAATTGAATCCAAAATATGCCTATTAATTTTTATTTTTTAAAAAAATTACTGGAATTTAGTAATGAAAATCATACAATATAATATATAATAGAACAAAAAAAATATTGAAAGAAAAAGAAGCAAACAAATTTTTAAGAACATTCATAAATATAATAGGTAGGCACTGTAAGAAAATAATATTTAAAAAAACTGTGTCTTCATAATGTATTAATTGAGAAGACATTTAATAAACAGAATTGATATTATAATTACGAAATTTTAAATTAATTAAATGTAATATTAACGAATCGTCGAAACAGTTATTAGGTACATTGTTTATTAATATAATAAATATACAAAGTTATACAAGTTCCTTCTTCTGTTTACCAGGGACTTATGATTTAAAAATTAAAAATATTATTATAGAAAAAATGAGATCATCTAAAATAATTGCATTTACAACAAATGTAAAAAAGCACTATATTTTAACAGCTTTAATCATAAATTGACATTAACGTTATTATGACCTATCCAATATTATCATTGCCTACTCTAACCGAGACCTGATAAAAGAAGTAAAAAAAGTATTACTAAGTAAAAGGAACATTAAAATTAAAGAAATCACTCATAGGTAGACCAAACATGGATGGAGCTTTCTTTTTAATGTAATTAATGAGATGAGAAAATAAAATTTTTATATAAAGAAGTACCCAAAGAGCCACGAAGGGATAGTATATTAAAACAAGATTTTACTTAAAAAAAAAAAAAAATGCTGAAATTTATCTATATTTAATGAAATACCATTGAAATTGCACTACATAATAAAACTATTGCTTTAAACATATTACTATCAGCGAGTAGATGTTCAGCATCACTTTATGATTTTATAGTTTTAAAAAATTAATATCATCTGCAAATAATAAGATATTAGAATGGTATCAATCGTGTAATAAACATATCATTTATGAATGAGTTAAATAAAATTGGATAATGGTGATCATCTTGATGAGCCAGTAAAATTTTACCTGAATTAGAAAAGTTAAATATGGAGAATAGAGACGTCAAATATGGCTAACACCAAACAGGAATAATTCCGTACCTATTATAATAATTCTAAGTAATTTGATTTTGTTTGCAATTCAAATAATTCAAATAATATTTATACCTTTCTAAAATAATTTTTTTTTATAATTAAATAATAAATAGTAATAAATTTAATTGTACCTGTTGTGTAGCAAATTGTTTTTTTTTCAATGAATTTTTTTGTAAGGCCCGCGTAGTAAACTATTCAATATAATTGGCCCAGTTAATATTTTGAGCTTGACTATTATAGCTCTATTATAGCTTCAACTATATTTTTGTATACAAATTGTAAAAACATTGAATTTCAATTAAAATATGAAAGTTAAAATTTTTAACCTAAATCTATATAAAAATAAGTTGTCGAGAAAATAACTACTTAAGGAACTTTAAAGTGCAGAATCAAATTTAAACAGCAAAAGAAAAAAAAATTAACAAAAGCGTTAAATAATGTAACATTTTTTTATCTTTAAAATCATTTTTTTTTGTATTTAATTTGGAATTCTTATAGTATTTTTTATACAATTTTTAGATACTTGGCTGTCTTGCAGCCAATGCGTTTATATCAGATGGATCGCAGGGGAAAGTTAATGATTGCAGTAGCTTGGATTGCATCAGTTGTTTGTAGCTTACCACAGGTAACTATTGTTTAGTTAGGTTATCGTTAGCAACCACGTTTGTTTGTACAATTATTATAGTATATTTCCAATTCCCATGCATTTGTAAATATGCAGTACATTACAATAATTTGTTTTATTATTTAAATAGTTGTAAACAAAATCTTTATTTAATGATTATTAGAGAAGACTATTTAAAATGTAAATATTTAAAACTATTTTGATTATATTCTTCAATAATGGGACTAAGGGTTGAGAATGTTGTGGATTTTATTTTATATATGAGTTGAAATTACATAATATAATATCACTGGAAAAATATTTGTCTACATAAGACCACCTATTGAACTGTAAACAAACTTTGAACATTTAATTCATTAACAAGATAAAAATGTTTGCTTTATTTACACCGTAGACTTACATATTTCACGTGGAACGACACCCTAATGCCACATGGTACGAACAGTGCGTCACTTATAACGCTTTTTCGTCCAAATTGCACGAGCTGGCTTACTTATACTTCGGCATGTTCATGATGTACTGGTTGCCTCTAATCGTTATACTATTCTGCTACGCTTCCATCATCATTGAAATATATAGAAGGTCCAGGGAATCAATTTGCGGTCAAGGTAAGTTATAGGATTAGTTATAAGACTCTGGTTTTAAGCGTAGAAGCTACTGATCTTACAGTATAGGTGGGGAAAAACAGGTCTGTCTAAATTTGAATAAAACAATTTTGCAGGGCTGTTGAAAATTTTAATTTTATGCAACTCGCCTTTTTATTATATTTACGATATTAAAAATTGAACACACGAGGGATTTAAAATGCAGTGATTTTTTAAAACCTTGGTAGTTCCCAAAGTAATTTAAGAAATGCAAGTAATCGAATTTAAACAAATATTGGCCATTTTTAGAAGCGTTGAATTTCTTATTCTTTTGCTTCTATTCAAATTTAAAGATGATGAGTGTGACATATTCAGACATTTAGCCCCAGCAATCTATTCACAGTTTTTACTATTTTAAATAATTATTCCTCAAAATAAATATGTTTTTAGCCTCAAATGTGGCAGAAAATATGAGTTGAGGCCAAAATTAGATATTTGATTCACAATTTCCCAGACACAAAACTGGTTTAAATATACGTATTAACTTAAATATGCTACTTAAATATTAAGTAATGTATTCTCATTGGAAATTCGCATCAATCTCTTGATAGTCTAATCGAGTCCATTTTCGTTGATAGATCTAGGTACATGAAAAAATATAAAGACCACGAGTAAAAGAAAGGAACCTTAAGATGTATCTGGGATTAAAGTTCAGTTAGTACTTAGTATCATTGATTAATTTGTTGAAAGAATCTTATATTAAATTTAGTTTTCTTGTCACTTAGAGAACAGATGTTACTGTTAGGTGCATTTAATACAGGGATGTATTTTTGAGTGGCATGTTACATTTTTAGAATGAAAGTAATAACACTCAAAAACGTTCACTGTACTTGTTTAACCTGATTTTTGCTTAATGTATTATTCTAAAAATGTTCAATATGAATTCTTTGTTTCCTGGTTAGTATTTATATTTCAGTAAGATTTACATATTCAATTTTCAATTCATAAATTTAAATTTTGTACCACAGCAAATTCTTGATAGTTTGATGTAAATTTATTTCAAACGAATAAAAAATACTATAATATATTGATTATTTCTCTGAAAACTATTTTAAAAATGTATTATAAATTCGAAGGATATGTTCTAAATTAAACAGTAGATTACGCAAATACAGGAACTTAAATGCTAGTTTTAGTTTGTATCCTTAGACCTTAATAATCAAATAAGTAGTTTGTTTAACAACAGAATACAATATGTTTTATATTCTTAAATTCTTCTCTTTAGTTTTGTTTTATATTAGAATTTAGATGAACATACACAGTGGGGTATGTCTATACATCGTATTGGTAGTGGTTAACATATATTTGAACATTGAAGTTTTGTAGTTTGGGATACTAAAACAAAAGGTTGCATTAAGAAACGAGATACAAAAAAACCATCAAAACGTCCAAAACCAATATTATTTTAGCTATAGTACATTTTAACTGAAGGTATGGTCTACGTGAAAATATTCACCGGATGAGGTAGTTGAAATTGGGGTGGGAAAGAAACATTATTCAGTTGAATTCGATCAATTTATTTATAATTTTTTTAATAATTTCATCGTATTAAAAATAAATTATTTATACAATCAATGATAACATAGGTACTCAAGTATTTATATATTTTAATACCATTATTTTTGTAGGTACAGATAATGTGCGTCGCCTGGGATTTTTAGGGCGTGCCAAAAGTAGAACATTAAAGATGACAATTATTATTGTCATTGTGTTCGTTGTGTGTTGGACTCCATACTACATCATGGCTATTTGGTGAGTGTTTAAAAAAAAATAATTTGGAAATTTGGAAATCCTATTATCTGTATTTATAAAAATAATAACAGTGATATTGTTTTAAAAACCAATACCCATCAAACATTTAACGAATTTAATTTGTTTGTTAAAAAAATTAACCATAAAACTATTACGATACGTGGTTTTTGTTTATTTATATAAAATGCAAGTTTCGATGTCATGCATGATTAACTATCACTACCCATTAAATAAAAATGAAATTGAATTCATGTATGATAGTGGTTTTGATAACGCCGTCCATCGATACGAGTTAATACCCTTATGTATAAATTCAAATTAACTGAATACATTACTGTATATTTGCATTAGTTTATAATCATAATTTACATAGAATCGTCATAACTGTTTTTTGATAAAAGAACATTTAATTGATTGGATTACTTAGAATACTAAAATAAATAATATATATAACTATATCATATAGAGTATAAATATATACATTATAATAAACACATTTCTTATTTGCATGTAGTGATTAGTTAGTATATATTTTTTGTTTTCACAATACTGAGAGTGAGCCTTGGTTAAATAATTAGCTATTCATAATGTTATTACAGCATTTAATTGTATTTACTAAATCAGTAAAACAAACTTTAAAAAACCATAACACGTTTTTCGATATTCAACTTCTACAAAGAAAATCTATAAATCAGTAAATATGTTTTTGTCGGGAGAGCTTACATGTCATTAAAATTGGGAGAGTTTACAGTACCACCATGAAAACGAAAATCTTGTGAAATATCGGCCAAAAACAAACAATCTTGTATCCAGCTCAAAAACATATTTATGTTAAGGTATACTGTACTTATATGGAATCCTATTAAATTTGATAAAATCAACAAACGATCTTAGAAAATATAAAAAAAAATATGATAAAGTGCAAAAAAAGAAAATCTTCATAATTTTAATATCATTTTTTGACGTACTCATAACAAAACAATATTTTTTGTTTCTAACCACATTATTTTGTCATTTGAATAAAATTAACATTTACAATAAAGTTATATAAATAATACATTTTTAAAAAAACGGGTAAGCGGGTGTCATTCTACTGTACAGTAGGTTGCAAGTGGGTCAATGTAATGGATGGTGTTAAATTTGAATTAAATTGTATAAAAGCAAGAGAAGAATGATATAAAATCAAAGAACTATTCTGAGCAAAGGCGGTCTGTCAACCTATAATATTATTTAGTAATTTAATATATTTGATGATGTTATTGTGGTTAAAGTAATTCATTTTACTAGTAAGCATTAGTACTACAGTAGGTCAAATTCGTTTTTGTGAAAAAATTACGTTTGAAAAGTTATTGTGAATATAAAATATAATAATATACTCTAAAAGTTTCATTAGGTGCCCACGAATAATATTTTTAAATTATACAACAAAATAATCATTATTCTTGGTTATTTAACAATGTGTAATTTGAACATAAAATAACTGTGTTTTCAGATTTTTTAGATTTTTTGGTTCCAAAATTAACTGCTAGCGCGCAACTTTGTTTTAAATGTTTGATCCTTAGCAATAAAAGTTGAACATTTTAGAAATATTTAACTACAAAATAATATGTAAATTTTAAATTTGATACATTTTGTCAAAATGTGAACTTTAAATTGTTACGGCTCAAAATGAGTCAAAATATTTTGAAAATATTATCACGTAAATGAATTGATAAAATAAACATACAATGTAAATTTAAAGTGTCTACAGTTATTCGTTTTTAAATTACACTAAAAATAACAAAATCTTTACATGACAAATTGAGTGAATATCTAATGTGAATATCCTAACTTCACGAGCTCATAAAAATTAAATTTGACATCACAGTAGAATTTTTTGTTTTGATAAAAGTAGAACAACTTATGATAAATCTTTTATTAAATTTTAAAATCTTAGATCTAAAAAGAACATTTTTTATGAATTTCTTACTCAAAATAATTTGCAAATGTTCTTGATTTTTATGAATTTGTTCAAAATTCGATATTAAAAAGCTTATAAAAAATTATTGTGATTTTTTTTTAATTTCCACTAACAACAGCTTACTAGAAACTTTGTATTACAATTTTAAGATTTTTGAAAAAGCTAACAATTTTTTATCAACATGAGTTAAAAAAAAACTAATAGTAATCGAAAAATCATATGCCTATAAATAGTTCAACACGAGTCAAAATATTTTGAAAATTGTATACTGTATAGAAAATACGTAGCGTATTAGCGTATGTAGAAATTTAGTGAAAATGTCATATATCTACGGTATTTTTTTTTGAGTTCTATCAAAAGCCTTAATTGAAAATCCTTAACCGGATAAAAACTGGTTTTTCTTAAAAACTCCCATTTTTCCATATTTTTTTGTTTGTTTTTCCAGCCTCTTTTGAAAACTATTGGACAATTTTTACTTTTGACCTCCCGCCCTCACTGCTCGGAATCTAAAATAATTACAAATCGTTGTTACACGTGTTATATGTTTTTTTACTAAAAATTATTAATTATTATTATTTATCTATGAATAACAATGATATTTTTTTTAATAATCGTTAGCAGTCGAAATATTGAAAATTATTTGCTAGTTAAAATCTGAAAAGGTTAGTGCAATACTCATTCTTAGTATTTTATAAATAATTCTTAATAAACCTAAAAATCTAAAGAACATATTATCACATTAAAAAAATCTATATTTGATGTTGAAATTTTGAAGTATTTGAATGTATATACAAAGAGCGTCGATTTTAGTAATTTTGTTGTTATTGAAACATATTATTTGAAGGGATTCAAAACGTTTGCATACATTGTTATCTATTATATTAGTACAGTAAGTAATTTTCAAAACTTTTAGATTTATTTTATGCTATTGCCTATAATAAATGGGATACTTTTGACAAAAATTAATTCAACCTATGATATTACTAATTTCAAAATGAATTACTTCGTTAGCAATATAGATATACAATAAAATATACTTCAAAATGTTCTCCTGAAAAATTTTTTATATCGTATTCAATTAATATAAATTTAACACATCCTGATACAGTGACCCATTATGATGAAAAATTACACTTGACACTTATTGTACAGCAGAATGATTACCAACTTTTTTTTTGAAACTAATATATATATATATATATATTTATAAAATTAACTTATTTAAGCCAAACATATTGTTTTAAAATGGAAAAAGATTTTCAAAAGAATAACTATAGTTTCTAGCAGTGGTATTTTATTAGACTTTATAGTTCAATAAACAAAATACAAAACCATGATTTTCTGCTTTTACATTTAAGAGAAGGGAAATGTTCAGCTCGTGTAATTCCTATTTAATTTAATATAAACTTCTAAGTGAAACATTCAAATGCAATTTATATAGCAGTAAACTATTACTGTATTCCTTACATTTTAAACCTTTATAATTATTTATGAGTGTATGAACTGAATAAAATATATTATGTTATTATAGTTTCAAAATCTAATTTTCAATTAATTTATAATAGCAGCAGTACTGAGGAGACACTCAGATATCAGTATTCAAAGAACTGTTCTCCGGTTTAATTATTGTTTATGTTATCATGCGTGTAGTCATTTTGCATACACAATGCGCCGTCTTACAGTATGGTACTTCAGAATACTAAACTTAATTTGACATTAAAGATAATATTGTCCTTTAATGTATTCTTGGTGATTGATATAAATTCCGCTTCTCGACAGGTTAAAAGTAGGGAATAATATTCAGGGATGACGCCTGTCCATTTAAAACGATGAAATTAAACGCATATGACCATCCGTAAAAGCAGTACGTTGATTAATTTACACCACATACTAATCTTATTAAAAAATAAGTAAGTAAAATACAAGCTATAGACTCTATGCTTTTATTCAAATAACTATTAATAGCACGATATTTTGCCATGGTAATCAATAAAATTGTTTATGAATCACTGAACTGAACACTTGGTACTTAATATACGCATATGGTGGTATTTTGTAGTTCACAAGACATTATGAAAATTACGCCCACGTTTGAACTACCATTTTGTTTCAAAAGCAAATAAATAACAATATGTTACTATCGAATCAGTAAAAAATAAGGTTATATCCGTATTGTTTTTTATTTATTTTATATTGTAACTACGGTGCTGAATAAAAACAGCATACATCTCTATAATTCTGATATGAATTCCATAATATATTCGGTTACATTTCACGAATATTTTGGAAATAAATTAAAGTCAATCAATTAAATTACACTGAATATTTAAATAAGCACTATGGTAAAAAATTAAAGATAAATTATTTGTAATGAACATATATTTCTATTTTCCTTAAAGTGATCATATTGTAATTATTATACTATTGATTCACGATGGAAATTGTGCAGCTACATAAAAACTCAAACCAATCGATTAAAGGGAGTAAAAAGAAAACAATAAGTTGTGGATCGACACATATTCAATTTGATTGTTTTATGTTTGATCATCGTAAATGACACACTAACCTTCTATTTATCTATTCTATTTTTGCTATTTCGTACTATTGATACCAAATAGAGCAATCAATTGAAATTATGTATAAAAAAATATTAGCTGAGTGTTGATAAAGAGTATTTGACACATCACGGTGTCGCAAAATTTGGTCAACTGGTAACTATTATAGTATTAATTTAGATATATCTTTAATTTTATTATGATAATAACTATGTATACGCAAGTTATAGTTATAAAAATAAATAATATATGGGTTAATTTTTAGCCTCATATATATTTTTTTTCAAGATACATTAAAAATGTAAGTGGAATGTATATAATTAATATCATATATAACAACATTTTGTTTATATAAGTGGATATGTAAGATGTATGAAAATGTTACACAAGAAATGATTATAATTAAAATTATCCGGGGAATAATTAGTACCACGTCATGAAGTGTGGTAATTGATGTCCAAACGAGTGCTCATAATTAACGTTTA